AATATATGTATACACACACACACATATATATGTATATATATATATATATATTATCGTCTGTATATATATATTTGTTATTTTCATGGACATACGTGTCCATATATATACTTGTATTTATTCGCGAGTATGCGTGAACGACCCTGTAATTTAAACTATACCAAATAGGACGAAATAACATCAAAAATACAAACCCACATGATGGACACTCTTTTTGACACGAAATATGCTTTTCTACAATACATGCCAATTCGATATTTTGTCTCCTAAGCGCATTCTGGTCACAGAAGAAATACTCCACACTTGTCACATATCTTGCCAGAAGGGACATTGTGAACTTCATAGTTCACAGGCGTACAAAAAGTTGTTCACACCTATCAATAGTATTGTCTTTGAGCTCTGTTACCAATTTCAGAGCTATCGTACCAGTAGTATAGCGTCAGTTGCAATTTAACCTGTTTCTGCTCGATACATGTTGACCACCTTTTTCAAATAAGGTGGCAAATTGTTACCAATTTGAAAATTGATTGAATTTTGGAACAAAAAAAGGTGGCATAAAAAAATTAAGTCAGTTTTATACTTGTGGTGTTTTAATACTGACAAGCAATCACACATTATATACACAAGTCAACACATAGATCGTTAGTTTATTTGGCTTATATACAGTGACAATATAAGCCCACATGCCCAAATATGCCACCCCAGTGCACAGTATTCAAGTGCAGCTTAATCTGTACACCTTCCTGCTTCACTGCCAAATGATCTCTGTCGAGTTCTATGACTCAGAATAATGACACTACAAAAAGCGTGTTTAGGTGTCATAACTCGTGATTTATTTATTGTATAGATCTTTTACCTTTTTAGTGTACATAAACCTTTGTAGATTACTATGCTACGTTGTGCATATGTGTTGTGCATGTACAAGAACTGTTTATCAACGTGTTTTAACTTTTAGTATCAACTACCGTCACACATACTAAATAGCAAGCTATGTCAATACATAATAATATGAAGTTGTATTTAGTGGAAATATAGGCGAAATAATAAATATATAAATATGAAATTATACAAGAGAAATAATAAATATGTAACCTATATATTTTTGGAAAAATAATAAATATGAAACATGCACGAAATTTATTTTTAGGACAATAATAAATATGGAATAAAAATGCCGTATTTTTTCATAAATATGGCATATTTTATATAAAAAAATAAAATTCCTAATTTTAAATATGTACATATATTTGTATTTCCTAATATAATAAGTACGTGTACAAAACGTTGAAAATTTAAAATGCACTTTTACGTTTATTTGTATGTGTTCCTCGGTCAGGTCAGTTGTGAATAGTTTCAAATCGCCTTTTCCCCAGGTATACTTTTTAAAAAATGCTTTAAAAAAAACAAAACTTTTGCGTTTACGTTTGAAGTATATCGCATATAGGCAAAACGTATTGAGCTTTTCTGTAGACAGCGTAGAGTGTAGAGCTTGCAGAGTGCAGAGTGCAGACTGCAGACTGCAGGCACAAGAGAGAGTAAATATTTGCGCACAGACTACATACAGACTCGAGTTACAGACTACATAAATGGGTTTTTTTGTTTTTTAAAACAAAAATATAAAATATAAAATATATAGTTATGTAGCCTATTTAGGGCCCCGTCAGGCGTCAGCGGGTCTCAGAGACTCAGACAGTCTCTCAGAGTATCAGACTGACAGTTTTCTATATAAAATTATGGCTCATTTATATAATGAAATATAATTGGTGCTCACTGATATCAAATTTCTCAATTTTGTTTGTATTGTTTAAAACAATACCAATAGAAAATCGATAATGGAAGAATACAATACATGATCGACAATCTGTAATTACAGTCTATTTATTTGTTGATATATAGTCATTTTTAGGCCATCAGGCTTCAGCCTTCTATCGTTGTAATTTTAAGAAAAAACAAGCATGATACAAAAATAAAACCAAAAAGGACATTTGTCAGAGTGACGAGCCGCCCTCAGGCCTCAGGCCTCAGTAAATACTAAATAGGCCCCGGGCCTCAGCAGTTAACTCTCAAGACTCCTCAACCTAAATCTCAACTCATGTCCTTTTCGTGGCTCTCCGCTCTCGTAGAGTCGTAGAGTCTTAGTCATACTCTCGTATGTATGAGTCGTAGGCTCGTGCTCCCAGTTCCAATTGCTTTCTTTAGCTTCTTTTAAAAAATAGTGTTTTCTAAAAATAAACGTAAAAAGTATCACACTCATGATCACGGGGTAAATACACTAAATATTTCACATTTACAGAAGTGGGAATGCCAGGCTGACCAATCACCGAAGTTCAAACTATACAATTGTGTTGTTGTAAGTACCGAACTGTTCGATAATGTTCCTGGTCGTTAATAAGAGTGCGAGAACTTCTAAGTGTGGGCGATAACTGATA